GTGCCTTTTATGAGATGGACAGTTGCCAGGGAGGCTCACTTTTGCTATTGAGTCATGATTTATTGTATACCCCAATTAGTTAGGATTTGACCCGGTGCACATCTGCTGGAGAGATAACGTGCTCTGCAAGATGGCATGTTATGGCTAGTTCTGTGGGAAGGTAGCGATAATGTAGCTGGCTTTCCTGATTCCTCCTCCACGCTGATTATTACAGGCACAAGACTACATGGCCCTGCTTTGCTGCCTCTGCCCTTTGTTCTATATCTGGGCTGAATACAAAAGCGGATGCTGTTGTACATAATTACAGGTGCTGTCTCACATACGCTTGGCGAGATTGCTTTGTTTTTATCCAGGTAGGCTGTATGCCTGCCAGTCTGGCCACATTTTCTCGTTGAGAGTTGGAGAATGAGATTCAAGGTTGTATATTTCTTGTTGGTAGAAGTGTTCAAGCATCGGTGGTGGCAATACTTGTGCATTCTTATAGTCCAATATTTAATTGATATTCCTAGGGTTGTTTTTGTTTTGTGGTTGAACAGGTGTTCGGGAATATCCAGCACTCTCAAAGTTCTGTATCAAACATACCATTTAATATTTCATTTGAATGTTCTTTTGCATGAGTAGAACGCTGTTTGCAGATTGATTGATTGATTGATTGATTTAATATCCTGCTTTTCTCCTGAACCAGGACTTGCTTACAAATAAAAATAGAAGGCACAGATAAAATGGAAAAGCCCAAACCTAAAAGGATTAAAACAATATAAAAACAGAGCCATTAAAAATACATAGAATCGTGGAATTATACAGTCGGAAGGGACTTGGAGCATTATTTAGTCCAACCCTCTGAAATGCAGGAATCCTTTGCCCCATAGTAAGGACCAAATCTTCAACCCTCAGATTGCTCTATTGACTGAGCTATCCCAACAATAAAAACATCACAGCACCATCCCTTTCTTTAGGAACAGTCAGTTCCTAAAGACTTGTTTAGGAATAACAAGGTCTTCACCTGCTGGCAGAAAGAGAACCCGAGGGAAGAAGTCTAGCTTCTCTAGGGAGGGAGTTCCAGAGTATGGGAGCAGCCACCAAAAAGGCCCTCTCCTGCATCCCCACTGAGTGCCTGTGAGGCAGGTGGGATTGAGAGAAGGGCCTCTCCCAAAGATGTCAGAGCCCAGGCAAGTTCGTGTGGGAGATAATGTCCTTTCACATAGCCTTAACTTAGTTGCAGTGCATAAGCAGCCACCCCTCCCAGCCACTCTTTGCTGCCATAATTGCAGTTCTCATTAGAGCTTGGAGGCAGGTTGAGGCTTGGACTTTGTGCATGAAGGAACTGGTACTCCAGTTTGAAACAAGAAAATGTTGATAGGTAGACAATGCAGGGCAGCTCAGCTCAACTGGTGGTGGTAATCAACAGAAGGAAGAGAGCTTCCTGGTAGGCTGTTGCCTGCTGTCTCTCTCAATCTGAGACAATAGTGTTTATTTCATTTACAAAATGTATAAACAGTGGTACCTTGGGTTAAGTACTTAATTCGTTCTGGAGGTCCGTACTTAACCTGAAACTGTTCTTAACCTGAAGCACCACTTTAGCTAATGGGGCCTCCTGCTGCCGCCGCGCCGCCGGAGCACGATTTCTGTTCTCATCCTGAAGCAAAGTTCTTAACCCGAGGTAATATTTCTGGGTTAGTAGAGTCTGTAACCTGAAGCGTATGTAACACGAGGTACCACTATATTGCTTTCTTATAGCCATAAGAAAAGCTCTTAAGTTTACATATAAATTATCAGTGAAAAACGGTTAGAAATTGATATTTTAAAACAGTCAAATGATTTTTAAAGTCAACCAGTAGCTAAAAAGAGAGAAAATACATGTAGGTGCTTCTACATGTCTGGATAGACTTGCCTGAACAAAAATGTTTTAAGCAGGCACCTTTGCTGTATTCTGAATTATACTTAATAATATTCCTGAAATAATACTTTTAAAGGGCCTGACATTTTTAGGATGGAAGAAAGAAAAAAGCACAGAAAGTTTGTCCCAAACATTGTTTGTCCCAAACATGGAACCTGTCTGGTCTTTTATCATGCTACTATGTTAATAATGGGACGCGGGTGGCGCTGTGGGTAAAAGCCTCAGCGTCTAGGGCTTGCCGATCGAAAGGTCGGCGGTTCAAACCCCTGCGGCGGGGTGCGCTCCCGTTGTTCGGTCCCAGCGCCTGCCAACCTAGCAGTTCGAAAGCACCCCCAGGTGCAAGTAGATAAATAGGGACCGCTTACTAGCGGGAAGGTAAACGGCGTTTCTGTGTGCGGCTCTGGCTTGCCAGAGCAGCGATGTCACGCTGGCCACGTGACCCGGAAGTGTCTGTGGACAGCGCTGGCCCCCGGCCTCTTGAGTGAGATGGGCGCACAACCCTAGAGTCTGTCAAGACTGGCCTGTACGGACAGGGGTACCTTTACCTTTTTATGTTAATAATAAATATTAATAATAAATTTTATTTATGTCCTGCCCTCCCCAGCCGAAGCCGGGCTCAGGGCAGCTAACAACAATAAAATAGTACAACATTCTAAAAACATTTCATTATAAAAATTAATTAAAATCAAATTGATGGCAACCATTAAGCTAAAGTTCTGTGGAGATTGCCAAAGGAGGGAGTCAGGCTGCGCCCTGACCAAAGGCCTGGTCGAACAGCTCTGTCTTGCAGGCCCTGCGGAAAGATGTCAAGTCCCACAGGGCCCTAGTCTCTTGTGACAGAGCGTTCTTCCTGGGAGAACCGATGTGCAGCCCCTCATGATAGCTGTTTGTTCTTTGGCTGATAGTGGTAGAGTAAGCTTCTGTTGCGCTCTGTATCTCAGTGCAAGCAGCATTTGGGAGTCAAGTATTCTTGTGGGCAAAGACAGGGGAAGCCTGTGCCAGTCAGCTGCTGCTGCTTCTGGGTGAGGCCCGGCAGGTCTCGCCCTTGCAATGACATTTATTACTGGGAGGCAAGAGTGGATCTCCGAGTGGTTCCTTAGTTTGCTTCCTTACAGCTTTGCAGTCCCAGGAAATGTTAAATGTCCTTTTTTTCAGTCCCCAGCTGACCAATGCTTAAATCAAATTTATTGCGTTTCTGTTCAAAACATATACCAAAACTCATAGTTTAGCCCTCATGCTGTATAATTTAATCGGTGATTAGTGTATAGAGTTTAAATGGGGTATACAAGGAAATGTTTTATCAAATTGTCATGTTGGGCTAACCTACTTTCCTACATTCATATGGAAGCGGTTACCTTAGCTGCTTTTGTGGGGCTTTTCTTTTGTTTAATTCTGAATAGCTGTTCTATACTTGCAGATAAAATTGAGCTGCTTAGGTCTAGTCTCTTAATAATCTAATAAAACAATATTGGTCAAAGATTATATTAACACAGCTGCACTTTTAAAGAACTTCTTTGAACTTAAAATGGTGGTTCAATTATCACAAATTGGTAATACATATTCAGTCTCTATTAACAAATATGCAGCAATATGAAAAGAGATATACAGTGGTACCTTGGGTTACATACACTTCAGGTTACAGACTCCGCTAACCCAGAAATAGTACCTCGGGTTAAGAACTTTGCTTCAGGATGAGAACAGAAATCGTGCTACGGCAGCAGCAGGAGGCCCCATTAGCTAAAGTGGTTCTTCAGGTTAAGAACAGTTTCAGGTTAAGTACAGACCTCCGGAACGAACTAAGTACTTAACCCGAGGTACCACTGTATTGAAACCCTTTTGATGCCTTTGACTTTGACTGTCGTAAGAGGAACTGTAATGTTTTGTGGTTCTATTGTGACACTGCTGGGTTTACTTGCTGTCATAATTGTGCAGTAAATTATGCTCCCGTGAAGTGTTTGTCCTTGTTAGATGTTGCTATTGTATATTTTCTCTGTACGTATCAGAGAAGAGCCCCTTTCTGTATTCTGTTGAGTTTAAGCTTAGTTCTAAGCAGCCAGAGATACATTGCAATTCGGTCACTATTTCAGACAGTCTGTGCTTCTATTGATCCACAGTGGGATTTTATTTTTTTAAAGTCATCTCGCTCTTTCATTACATCCTCAGGTCTGTGGCTTGACTTTCATAACAATAGCTGACCTTTGCAATTGTAATAATGTTCTTAAGTAAAACAGTACTCAGCACTGTGTAGGAAGTAATCCCTCGCCGACATGGCAGAGTAAATAAATAAAAAGCATCAGCATGTACCTTGATTGTGCACAGACTAAATATATATTAGAAAGAGCACACTTTTTCTCAATTGAGTAGACAAGACTGTCTTCTGTTTAGAGAGATCCATGGCTGCAGCTCTCCAAGGTCCCCAGCAGATACTGTTAGTTGGCCATTGTTTTTAACTGCTGCTTTGCTATGTTCTTTTCCAATGTGAGCAACCTTGCACAAAAATAGATGTTGAGTCTTGTGGTGAAGGAAGGTTTTTCTACCCTGGACTAAACTATCAGACATCCTGGCCCTCCAATCAATAGCCTCAGTGCAAAAATATGCCAAGAGTCAGTAACATGCCACCTTGGCTTTTGACAACCAACCCCCCACCCCCCAAAAAACCATGTGCGCCCTCCAACAAATCCAGGAGCAGATCCCATAAAAATGCCCTAAGGTTTTTTTTGGCAGAGGAGGAGGGTATAGTTGTTCCCATAGTTCAGGGGTGTCCAACAGGTCAATCACAATCTTATGGGGGGGGGATCCTGTGGTTGATCGTGGTCAATTGTGGGATCCTGCCACACCCCCCCCACCAAAAAAAGCCCTCAACAACTTTGGTCAATTTAATGGATATACCACTGCCAGTTTTTTTATAGTGGGAGTAGATTGCAGTCTCTTGAAAGTTGGACATGCCTGCCATAGTTTTTCATTCAAGGCAACTGTCCTGACTTACATATATTGCCTAAAATTAAAGGAGAACAAGATATAGAATACTAAATGGGTTTTTATAGGTTAATACTCAACTTTGGTAGGGAAATCTAACTCTCAGACCTCTGTCTTTTTCTCACAGGTACAGGAAACACTGTGGCCATTATGATTAGCCATGCAAAAGGCATTGAAATCCTCCGTAGGCTGGAACAAGGCTACCAAGTGACCATGGTTATTGAAGTGGGGAAAAAACACGGATCATGGATGAATAACTACTCCATCTTCTTTGTTTCTGTGTCTTTCTTCATCGTCACAGCAGCCACTGTCGGGTACTTTATATTTTATTCTGCAAGGAGGCTTAGACTTGCAAGGGCTCAGAACAGGAGACAGGTGAGTTTCTCATATGCATTCTTCACTGGAGAGTCTGGATGTGCCAATTTACATAGCAAAATCAACACTGGCCTTCTGATGTAACACTGACATAACATATGCTAAGTGCTCCAGCATGCTATAGTTGATCTTGCTTTAGCAGCTGAGGCCCTACAGGCAATGTTCTGGACTTATGGATGCCTCAGTAATAGTCCCTCGCAGGATGGCAGAAGGATGCCTCTGAATTCCACTTGCTGGGAATCTCTGATGCACACATGTCATCGGCCTTTGGTTCAATACTGAGAACAGCATGCTAGACTAGATGGGCCTTTCGTTTGACCCAACAGGGCATTTTCTGGGCTTTATTGTCCCAGTATTTTTGCTCTAACTTGCCTCTGCTTGTTAGTAGACACTGGTTCTCTCACAGCCTCATGTTTATGGCGAAATGTACACCCCTACTCCTCAAGACATGTGAAGACATTTGCTAAAGCTTACTTTTCTCAGGTGTGTAGAAAATGCTGGATTCAGGGGGTCAGTTGCTGCTGTTTATCACAACTCACTTCTGCCAGCATGCTACATAAAATCTGTGTTAAGATTAATCCTGGTTCCATGAGTCTTAAATGGTGGATTCACCTCTTTATATGCAACTTAAGAAGGAGGCTTGAATCTCATTAACTAAACAAGTTAGCTCTGTTCTGTGATGTTTACACATTGAGAGTGTTGTCTTGGATTTTCAAAGTCTATGCAGGGAATTGCTAATTAGTCTAGTAGTCTCTCTAGAGCTCTTTATCACCCATGCAAAGCCCAGTAAGCAGTGTCTCCCAGTTTCCCAATGAGCTGTGCTTCTAATAAATAGATGGTTTAAATACTTGATTGAAGTTCCTTATATGAAAAGTGAATTCTTCATGTAATGTGATTCTGGGTGCTCCAAGGGGCAAAGGTAAAGGGTCAAGGGACCCCTGACAGTTAAGTCCAGTCGCGGACGACTCTGGGGTTGCGGCGTTTATCTCGCTTTACTGGCTGAGGGAGCCGGCCTACAGCTTTCAGGTCGTGTGGCCAGCGTGACTAAGCTGCTTCTGGCAAACCAGAGCAGCGCAAGGAAACACCATTTGCCTTCCCTGCTGGAGCGGTGCCTATTTATCTACTTGCACTTTGATGTGCTTTCAAACTGCTAGGTTGGCAGGAGCTGGGACCGAACAACGGGAGCTCACCCCCTCGCGGGGATTTGAACCGCCGACCTTCTGATTGGCAAGCCCTAGGCTCAGTGGTTTAGACCACAGCTCCACCCGCATCCCGCTACAAGGGGTAGGATGTGACAACCGGGAATGCCTATTGTAGTCTTATAGCTACTTGACCATAGCAAGTAAGGACTGCCGCTGGGCATGGGAACATATGGAAAGTTTATTTGGGGGCATCAATAAAGACTAGCAATTATTGCAATACACTTTAATTTATATGCAAAAAGTTCCAGGGAAGATAGGGGAAGGAAAATTGATTAGACATCAATCCTAATCCAGAGGTACCCACAGGCCCCCAAAAGCTGACAAGCCCAGTCGTTTATCTTGGACAAGGGAGGTTAGCTTGATCACTGAGAGGTGATAGGGATGTGAAGTACTTAGACTCCCCTCCTACTAATTTTTGGACTCCTTTGCCTGTAAAGGCACCAGTATAGGAAATGTACTAGTGGTTCCATTTGGCTTTTCTTTCTGCATCTCCACACCTCTATTCTACTGAAATCTGAATGCTTATGGTAGATTTCACTGCTACAACTGCATAACAGTTTCTTTTGTATGCCTAGCATTATCATGATGAGAGGCTGAAAGGGATAAAATATTCCCACTTATTTTGTGTTTCTTTAGTATTTCCTGGCTAGTCAGCTTTGCGTATTCTGTGTTGGTAATTAAGTTCCCCTCTCAAGCATTCTATTCAAGCAATATCTAATGTGGGAAATAGAAACCACAACAGGGACTAGAGTGCTTGCTTGGCAGATGAAATTTACACTGTTCAGGCTTCCTGATTTTTAGACAGAGAAGGGTATTTGCCTTGTGATAAATTTTTTAACTGATCAGTTTGGTCTGGCTGAAAATAACCTTGTTGTAATAAGCTCCTCTCTTGAAAATCAATTACCTTCTAACTTATGTTCTTTTTTTTATATATGTAGGTATCAAGCAGTCACCTACTTTTCAAGGACTGTTAATGAATGCCTGGTGTTCTTTGATGTGTTTTTTGCCAGGAAATGCTCAAACAGTATCTTTTGAGTTACTGCAGGAGTAAGAGCAGCTGTTCCTGGTACCACATCTTTCCAATGATAGGAGCCAAGGCCAAGTGTCCAATTTGTAGTGCCCTCCCCATCCTAAATGGGTTTGACTCCTCTTTGAGAGACAGCAGTGTGACTGACTGCAGGCATCTAGCTACCATTCAGGTTCTTCTAGTGCATAATTACAGCCTTTCCCTTGCTTCTTACCAACCTAGCTGAAATTATGAGTTGTGATGATAAATGAGTCGTATTTGTGCAAAAATGTATTCATTGTGGCTCATCAGCATTTATAGCCTCCTAAAAGGATGTGAATCTTTAGGGCTCATTATGACAATTAATCTCTAAGTAAATGAGAGACAATTTCCATTCTCCCACATGCCACTGAAAGACTCTTCTTGTATCAGGGAAGGACCTCATCTTGTATAGTCAGTTAATGTTAGTGGCAAATTTAAGCAGTGAACCCATAGGTGATTTGTTGCTTATGTGTTTGCTTGTTGGCTTTCGGTTTTAGGAGAGGTGGTAGAAACCAAGAAGCAACTTGCGGGAAAAACTGCATCAGCATGCATATAGGAATTTATTTTGCAAATATCCTGAACACCTCAGCGCCTGCATGTTTTGGAAACATGTTGCCAGCAGATCTTGTAGGCTTCCAAAAGCTCCTAATATCATGCTCTTTCAAATATTGCTTACTATTTCCTTGAAGTTTTTTGAGCATCAGATTAATGAGGCTTGAGAACAACTTCCTTGTTCTTTTAGCTTCTTTTCCTGTACTATGGATTGTGTCCGATCAGAGCAGATCTGGGAGTGGTTTGTGTCAGCTTTGATAAAAGACCGGTGAGTGTGGCTGTAAGGCTGTAGCATTCCTGGCAATTAAGCAGAGCTTTGATTGGAGCTGGCCTACTGAAAACAAAAATTGAGGACAATAGGAGTTACTTGATTAGCTTGCCTGTGCTCATCTGCCAGTCTCTGTTGTCTGAGGAGGAGAATGCCACCTATCCAGTTTCATTTCTGACATTGTGGCAACTGTGACCCAGCCTATTCCTCTGAGTGTAATCTGCTTTAACTGTTTTAAATTTTTACACTGTTGTAAACATCCTAGTACTGTACCTGCTGGTGAAGGGTGGGGCCATAAATTTAGTAACAATTGCCTTATCAGCTAAATGGAAGAGAGTCACAATATTCCAGTTGATTGGTAGCTAGGATGCATTCGTGCATTTCAAACCAGACTCCATGATACTTGAGTATTCCTGTCGTTAAGAGAATAGAAAAGCCTGCAGCTTTCCAGATTAGATCAAATGCACACGTTTTCCCTTTCCAATTAGAAATTGCTTCAAACAAGCTAAAGGCGGTGGGTGACTTTGTTTAACTGATATACAGGCTTAGTTCAACACACAGTAGAGACTTGCAAGAGTGTGATTGCAAGCTAATGACTGGAACAAAAAGATAATGTTTGCATCTGTTTTGTGTATAGCCAACATGAGGTCAATGCAAGGAATATTAGAGATTCTGAAACAAGTGGGGGGGGGGAATGTTCAGTCTCTGCAGGACTTTTTAATACTTTAATGAGAAGTACTTTCTGAAAACATTAGAATAGCGTTTGAGAACTTTGATGTCCTTTAGTCTTTAGTGGCAAGCAAGCGTTGCCTCCTAAATAAACTCCAGTGTTCTTTAGGAATGCTAAATAAACACTTCAGTTAAACTTCCATGCATATCTTGGCTCATAATTATCTTCCGGTTGCCACTGTTAGGCAAGAGTTATCCATCTGCCTATGGAAACACCTCATTCAACGTTAATGAATTGTGTAGCAGTTGGTGTTTATAGATTTTTATGGGAGAGCAAGTTTCGTGTTGACCTAGTGCTTGTCTGTTACAGAGACGGCTGAAAGCAGATGCCAAAAAAGCCATTGGACAGCTTCAGTTACGTACACTGAAGCAGGGAGACAAGGTAATGTAACTGAGAGAAAGTGGTTCATGGTGCTCTGGGGGGGGTTGTGCTTCTACTGATGGAACAATTAGGCGGGTTCTCGGGCCTATCACCTTCTTTGAGTGCTTGGCTGTTGGCAGTGGCCTGTAGACCCTTTTACCAACTCTGTACTGCTATGCTGCTTTTTGCCTCTCCTAGTGAAGACAGACTAACTTACCTCTGTTAACCACACTTTAGTTTCTTCCAGAACAGACAGCTTCAATGCTTTCCATATAAGGCAACCTT